CAGAGAAGGTCAAATCGGGAGAGCAGCGCAGCAGGAAGCTGTATGTTCTGCTCCAGGCTGCGGCGAGGGTTGTAGCGCCCATAGGCAGGGTTGGCGGCAGCCAGGATGGAGCAGCGGGCATTGAGCGTTGTGAGGATGCCCGCCTTGGCAATGGAGATGGTTTGCTGCTCCATGACCTCGTGGATGGCCGTGCGGTCAGCCTCCGCCATCTTGTCAAATTCATCAATGCAGCACACACCCTGGTCAGCCAGCACGAGGGCGCCACCCTCCAAGGTCAGCTCTCCACTCATGGAGTCTCTCAGCACAGCTGCTGTGAGCCCCACTCCGGAGGAGCCGCGGCCTGTTGTGTACTGGCCTGAACAAAAGGGCCAGGGAGAAAGAAAATAGACATGTTTAGGAAAAGCAAAGAACAAGGGAGCAACAACGGGGCAAAGGACAGAAGAAACAGGGCTAGTGAGGCAAGGCCTGTACTAAACTGCTCTGACCCAGCCAGGCCTTCCCAAGGCAGCTGCAGGTCTGTGGGTGGTGGCACTGAATCTCCATTCCCCAACGCTCCCAGAAGAGAACAAACACGGACGCGTGGTGGTCCTACTCCTGCCCTCAGTTTGCCTTTCCCAGGATCTGACTACTCACTGCGGGGGGCCAGGCGGTCAATGTAAGACAGGAGCTGAGACTTGGCCACACCAGGATCCCCCATTAGGCAGATGTTGATGTTGCCTGGAGGAAGGGAAGGAAGCCCCTGAATGACTATTCCTTCAATGCAAGTCGTCCAAACACAGAGAAAAGTGCTTTCGAGATCTGCCCCCATCATGCCCAGCACCATTTCTTTTAATCCCACCCCGTGCCCTGGAAGCCAAGACGCCTGCTCTTTTATTGTGGCCTATGGGACACGGGCCCTGGTCACCCATCCTTTCTTCCTGAACGCTGCACTCACCCCTGATCTTCATGCCTCGAGGAGACTGGTCCACCCCTCCCACCAGCAGGAGCAGCAGTGCCTTCTTCACATCCTCGTGCCCATAGATCTCTGGGGCGATGGAGGCTGCCAACTTTTCATAGAAATCCTCCTCTGTGGGAAAGGGAAAAGTAAAAGCGTTTTCTGGGGGATAAAAAGTGCTCGGATGAAACTCACATTCCCAGTCTTTCCCCCGACCCCTCACCTGCAATTTGCCTCAGTTCCTCCCTGCTCAGTTCTCCTGCCCCAGACTCATCATCCTCACTCTTACTCATCTTCACAATCCGATGGGCTTCCAGGTAAGTTTCCGAGAGTAAACCCTTGGGCAGGAAGATGCCAGGGTATGGATGAAGTTCTTTAACTTGCCCATCCACGTGATTCCCTCAGGAGTTCCTAACAAAACCTTTCGTTCTGCTTTGGTGTCCTGCTATTGACACTTTTCTCTGTGGGGCTGGATGAGAATAAGGGGATAAGAAGAAAAAGGAAAAACCACCTCCTCATTTTAAACTCCCTTTCTCACCTGGACCATCTGTCGGAACCCAGCGCGCAGGACTGGCAAGAAGATACCGGTGACGCTGACATGGTCCCCGGGCTGGGCAATCCTTGTGTTCTCTCCTTCTACCAGCACCGTGATGCTGCGAGGGATATTTCCCACGGGCACTTGGTCGCTCTGGGGGAGAAGGGTACGTGAGGCCTCCGGAGACTAACCTCCCCTCCCCAGGCACACTGCTCTTCCGCTTCCTGGCCTGCTCGGCCTCACAGAAGCCCACAGGAGGGAAGCTGAGCTCTCCTTTACCTCTTCCCAACTTAATCAGAAAGTTCCAGTTAAACTTCCCTGCTGCTCTTGATGACTTCTCTGCCTCAGCTCCTCTCTCGCTTGTTCTAATTTCTTCCTCCTACTCCAGTGGACTCCCAAGCTCCACCTTCCCTGGGTCCTGGACCACACACCCCAAACTCACATGTTCTTGCATCTTCATATCCTGGAATTTGATGAACTTGGAGCCACGTGTCTGTAGGTACAGCCGCCCTCCTGAGCGGTTGGTCTGGCACTCCTGGCTCGGGCACATGATCAGAGGCATGAAAGTGGGAGACTGGATCTAAGATACAAAAAAGGAAACACCAAAGGAAATCATAAGAAAAGGAGCCCCTTAGAGTCAGTTACTTGAATCACATTCCTCTTTGTCACAAAAGCCAGAGAACTTTCGAATGTCTTACGTTATCCCTAGTAGATGTCAACAAACACAAAAAACATAGAATGTACAAAAAGACCACTCCACGCTAAAAAGAAAATGAAAGGTGAACACACCAGCATGCTTTACAATAATCAGAGAATATAACAAGTGAACGTCAGCAGAACAAAACTAGTTCTTACAAAATGCACTGTTCGTTGCTCCATACATACCGGCTGATAGGTCTCTGCCCCACACTGGTCACACGTGTAAGTGGCCACCACCATCCTGGGTTTGACTTCAGAGACACGAGTGACAATTCCACGCACTGTTACCAATTTCCCCACAGAGTCAGCCCGTACTTCCCGGATCACGCGAGGCTTGTTACTACTGGGACCTTGAAAATACAGCTCACTAAGGGAAAAAACTGTCGTTAGCAAGGCTCTGGGGATCAAACCCCACACCCTTCCCAACCGAGACCACTCACAATCTGCGCATAAGTTCAGGAGGATACTGGTTCTGGGGGCTCCGGGCTGCCCCAGGGTCCCGGCTCCGCTGCTCCATCATCAACCGGTGCTCAATGTAAACGTCCAGAACATCTTTATTTACCACCTAAAGGAAAAGGCAAAAACCAGGATGGTGAAAGGACAGCACGTAATGGGGGCCAGCAGAAATCACTGCCCCCTTTCTGCCAGCTTGGAAAGCCAGCTTTCTGCCCCCCCCAAGAACCTTCTCGAAAAATACCTAAGTTCCATGCCCTGCATTTTTCTCACCTCCCTCTCCTTGTACTGAGGCAGCAGCTCTTGTATAGCATCAGCGAAGAGCTTAGCATAGCGCTTGGTGTTCTCACAAATTGAATCCACCAGCTCAGGGTCATCCTCAGCTACATCATCTAGGTCTATGTACACTGCCACTTGCTCCCGATGAGCCAATCGAACCTGGGGTGGAGAGGAGATAGCCACGGGGCCAAATTTACCTTACCAGTGTTGACAAGCAAAAATCTGTCACCACAAGCTCAGCACACAGGTCCCAGGCCCCACATGGGAGAAACAGCAGTGTGAGACAGAACAAGACTCACTTCTCAGCCCCCCAACCCCTGAAAATACCTTAATTATTGTGAATCTAGTGATACACTGGTATCAGGTATAGTGTTAAGCTTGTAACTTACACAAAAATGCATTTGCTAATAGCTCTTATAGCTTAAGTCACTGCCCCATTCCCTCTACCCAACCTTAGACTTACCAATTGGTTGCCATACTTGAACTGCTTCTTGCCAAATTCATCATCCTGGTAAAACTCTTGTAGAAACTTCTTCACCTTTTCTATAAGAAAAGCGTAAAACCGTAAAAGTCAACCTTTCTTCAGATACCTTACTACAAAACCCGTCTGAGAGAAATCTAAGAAATTCACCTCCATTTAAAATCAGATCGATGAACTCATCAATCGAAACAACATTCAAATAAGCCTACCTAATTCTCCCCAAACAGGGCAGAACTCTTTTTCACAAGCCTGTTTTGGCCTAGGGAAGAAAAAGCGGCCCCGGGCAGTTTAGAGTATTAACCGATACCCTCCCCGCAGGGGAATTCCACTCTCTGCCTTAGTTAGAAATCTCAGTACCGTTTCCTAAGGGCCTCCCACAGCCGGCAACACACTCAGGTCTCAAGGTTCTCAGCGTTTCTTCTACGCGTTTTATTCTCCTTTTCTTTCGGTCCCCTAAACCGCTGCCCTCACTGGGATCTCCGCCACCAGGCCCGTCCTCCGCCCCACCCCCTCTCCCGCCACGGCTTCCGCTCTTAGTAAACAAAGAAGCACATGGGCCCAGATGCCGCCGCCTCACAGCCCGGGATTCCTCCGCCCAAGGCGGGAGCCCGTCCGGCGATTGGCCGGCTCGTCAAGGGCCACATCGTCCCACCCCACCACTTCCTCCCTCTGCCTCTGATAAGCACCCCAATTCCAGGCAGGCCCCCACCCTCAGCAGCTCTCTCCGAGGCCACCGCGCGGAAGGACACTGTTTACACACGACACTCCTTCCAGCGGCGTCGCGCAACTTCCGCCCGCCTCCACTTCCGCTTGGAGGTGGGCCTAACGCGGCCAATCCCGGAGCGCAGCGGCCGGCCTGCCCGCCCCCCGAGCTTCGGCGCGTCTCTGGCGCTCGGAGCACCTAAGAGCGCGGAGGGAAGTGGGACTACGGGTGGCCGACCCTGAACCTTTTGACAGGGTTCCCTGAGATCCTGGTCTCCCCTTGGCGCGACCCTTCCTTCTGGAACTTACAGCCGGGGTGTCCGCCCACCCACCACGACCCCTACTTCTTTTCCCGTACGCGGTTACCAGCTTTCCCCCGACCTCGGCGCCCCGTGCGCATCCCAGGCACCGCGTGCCTCCAACCCGCCACCTCCCGACCCTGCCTCGGGCCTCGCGCGCCGAACCCGGCCCCCCGGGACCCCCGCTCACCCAAACAGGTGTTGACCAGGAAACTTCCCGCGCAGGACGCCCCTCCCACACTTGCAGACCCTCACCTTTCTCGAGCGCGTAGTCCTTAAGTGCCATTGCTGCTGAGGGCTGTGCGGCAGCAGTTCGCGGGCTCTGAGCTCTCACTCCCCGGACAGCTAAAAACGTCCGCGCGGCGGACTGCGGGCGACCAACCGAAATTGGCGCGAAACGTCGCTCCCCACGTGACCAGCGCCGCTGAGTGCGGGCCAATCGGAGAAGATGCCCTCCGCCCCTCCCGCTCGCCACGGGCCCCTGCCACGACCAATCAGCGGGCGAATCTGGGCTGAGTGACGGGGGAGCGGCGCGGGTGTCAGAAGGGAAAGGCTGGGCGAGGCTTGGGCGGGCGCCGGGTTTCCCGCGGTCGAAGAAGAATCGCTCTTAAAGGGCCAGCCCACTCGCGTCCTTTTGTTCCGGGGCCGCAGGGCGGGGCAGGCCCAACTTTCGCTGTATCCTGGTCTACTCTCCAGAACGGCCATGATTTCCCAGTTCTTCATTCTGTCCTCCAAGGGGGACCCGCTCATCTACAAGGACTGTATCCTTGGCCAGCGGGGCCGGGGGGAGGGGCTGGGTGGGACTAGTGCCCCCGAGCCAGCCAGTGTCGCCAGCTCCTTAGCTGTCCTTCCACCCGGTCAGTCCGCGGAGACAGCGGAGGCCGGGATGTGGCCGAGCTCTTCTACCGGAAGCTGACGGGACTGCCTGGAGACGAGTCTCCGGTTGTCATGGTAACCACTGGCGGGGGTGGGGTGGAGGGGATGCGCTTGGTGGGTCTGGGTGGGGGGCGCCTCCTCCCAGGGCTGTTTCCTTGAGAGCTTCCAGTTGGGGGGTACATTCCTCTAAATAATATTAATAGAAGTTTATTGAGCGCTCACAATGCACCAGGCACAGCTCCCCGCACGTCTCAATCCTCAGCCACTCTGGAATAGGTAATATTATTAACTCCATTTACACATTAGGAAGCTGGGCCCTGGGGAGGTTTCGTATGTGGCACAAGCACGTTGCTAGTAAGTAGGGGAATCAGGATACCAGCCCAGGTCTCATGGGCCAGGAATCACTACAACTCTTTCTTGCTAATGCTTTTTCCCCCTGCCTCTGCCTCAGCACCACGATGACCGTCATTTTATTCACATCAGACACAGCGGCCTCTATTTGGTGGCCACGACTTCAGAAAACATTTCTCCCTTCAGCCTCCTAGAGCTGCTCTCCCGGTGAGGAGGGCGGGGCTGGGCACACGGGCGTGGGGGCCAGAGAGGAGGAGGGTATGCACACTCCGTCCTGTTCTGCAGGCTAGCCACGCTCCTGGGTGATTACTGTGGCTCCCTGGGTGAGGGGACCATCTCCCGCAACGTGGCTCTGGTCTACGAACTTCTGGATGAAGTGCTGGTGAGGTCCAAGGATGTCCCTCCCTGTCCCCCGTTCCCTGAAGATGCATCCCATGGTTGGGAGGCTGAGTCCATTCATTTTCACCCCTTCCCCCCCGACCACCCAAAGACTGCCCTTCTTTTACCTATAGGACTATGGCTATGTACAGACCACATCCACGGAGATGCTGAGGAACTTCATCCAGACGGAGGCTGTGGTCAGCAAACCCTTCAGCCTCTTTGACCTCAGCAGCGTTGGCTTGGTCAGTCCAGGGACAGATGAAGCCAGGATTGAGGAGGGTTAGTGGGAAGTGTCATACGTGAGGATTGATTGCTTTGGATGATTTCCAGTTTGGGGCTGAGACACAACAGAGCAAGGTGGCCCCCAGCAGTGCAGCCAGCCGCCCGGTGCTGTCCAGCCGCTCTGACCAGGTGAGGGAGGGATTGATGGGTTCAGATCCTCTGGTTTTTCTCTCAGCCCCCAGAGTCCAAGATCCCAGCATAGCTTTCCACTTTCTCTAGACGTGGATGATCCCTTTCCTTACCCGCGTCCCCAACCCAGGGCTCCAGCCTCCACTGTCCTGTCCTTTCTGCCTGTCCGCGTTAGAACACAGGCTGATCAACCCCCAAATCCCTCTTTCCTTAGAGCCAAAAGAATGAAGTGTTTCTGGATGTGGTCGAGAGATTGTCCGTCCTGATAGCCTCTAACGTAAGTTTGGGCCCCCAGCCCTGCGGCTGAGGACAGGCGACCTTTGGGAAGTGTGTCGGGGAGGTCACGTCTGGGCATTGACCTCCTGTCACTCTCAGGGCTCGCTGCTGAAGGTGGACGTGCAGGGAGAGATACGACTCAAGAGCTTTCTGCCCAGCGGCTCTGGTGAGCAGCCTGCAGGCTGGACCAGGGTGGGGTTTGGGACAGGCTCCTTGGTGGCATGTATGGGGTATTTGGCTGCTGCTTCTGTTCTTTCCTCTGACAGAGATGCGCATCGGCTTGACGGAAGAGTTTTGTGTGGGGAAGTCAGAACTGAGAGGTGAGAAAGTGGGTCTTTCTCTCCTAGATCGAGGTCACTGTCAAAGTTTTCATGGAGGGAAGTTAGAGACAGCTCCCCACCCCCTCCCAAAATATGGGTTAGGAGAGGGGTCTTTCTCTCTTTCCAGGTTATGGGCCAGGAATTCGGGTGGATGAGGTCTCATTTCACAGCTCGGTGCATCTGGATGAGTTTGAATCTCATCGAATCCTCCGCCTGCAGCCACCTCAGGGTGAGGTCAGGATCGGGCTGGCCTAGCATATTCCACCTACCGAGGGGAAGGGAGGCAGTTCAGGTGTGAGGAGACCAAACTCACCTCCATTCCTCTCTGGTCTCAGCTGACGGTGATGAGGTATCAACTCTCAGATGACCTCCCCTCCCCGCTCCCCTTCCGGCTCTTTCCTTCCGTGCATTGGGACCGAGGCTCAGGCAGGTGAGACCGTTTCCCCGTTCTAGAAGTTCTCTGGAGCCCAAGCCAACATGTGTACGCATGTACGTGTGTGTGTGCACATATATACACGTATCTGTTTACCCCTCGGACTGGCTGTGAAGGAGTGGTGGTGGTGGTGATATTGGCTCCGAGTTAGTAAAAGCACCCTCCCCCACAAGTGGACCCAGCTCCGTGAACGTAATGGCTCGTGGAGTTGGGTGGATTTCAGCCCTTCTCTGTCTGTCTTGGGGCAAAATCCACGCAGCCACACGTGGGGGCCCTGTGTGAGGGATGGTGAGATGCCGGTAGGATAGGGCCTGAGTAATGGTGTTGTGCCCTCCCACCCAGGCTCCAGGTTTATCTGAAGTTACGATGTGACCTGCCCCCAAAGAGGTAAGTGGGGGTAGCCAAGCTTAGTCCAGCTACGTAGGGTAGGAGACAAGGCCAAGATACCTGCTGTTTCCACCTTCAGGTGCGGCCAACCAGCCTCAGAATCCAGCTTAGAGGCACTAGAGTTTGGGAAGGGGGTGGGGTGGCACTTGTGCAGAACTCCAGTCATGACAGTAATGAAGATGGGACACGTCACGACCTTCCTGGGGCTGACTCTGGTCCTTTTTTCCTTGCAGCCAGGCTCTCAACGTCAGGCTGCACCTTCCCCTGCCACGGGGGGTGGTCAGGTGAGCGTGTGTGCACCGTGGGCCCACGGGTGGGTTTACCAGCTTCTCCGGACAACAGGACAGCACTGGGGGAGGAAAGTGGGAGCTGTGGGATGGCAGGGGCTAACCCAGCACCTTTCCTCTCCCAACTCCAGCCTGTCTCAGGAGCTGAGCAGCCCAGAGCAGAAGGCAGAGCTGGGGGAGGGAGCCCTTCGCTGGGACCTTCCTCGGGTGCAGGGAGGCTCTCAGCTCTCAGGCCTTTTCCAGGTATCAGCCGCTGAGTCTCAAAGGCCCTCTCCTCCCACCTCCACTTTCAGCCCTGACCCATAGCCTCCTAATGCGGTCGGTCTGCGTGGTCAGCTTCCTGGCCCCTCGGCTCCCCTGCCCTCCTTCCTGTTGATGCCTTCAGCACCCTCCTCCTGCCTCTGCCCCTCACAGATGGACGTCCCGGGCCTCCCTGGGCCTCCCGGCCAAGGCCCCTCCACCTCGGCTCCTCCTCTGGGGCTGGGCCCCGCCAGTCTCTCGTTTGAACTTCCCCGGCACACATGCTCTGGCCTCCAGGTTCGCTTCCTCAGGCTGGCGTTCAGACCATGCGGCAACGCCAATCCCCACAAGTGGGTGCGACACCTAAGCCACAGCGACGCCTATGTCATTCGGATCTGAGCCTCCCAAACGAGGACACGGGTGGCAAAGGAGGTGATCTGTGCATCAGGACAAGGACAACGTTTCCTCTCCCAGCATCCTGGCCTGTGGCTGTGGCTCTGGCTGGAAGGGTCCTGAGTCCTAGAGAGCAGGGGGGCTCCACGGGTTCAACCGCCCGTCCGTGGGATCTGACCCAGGAAGGACTGAGGTGGATCACAATTTAAAAATCAAACTTTTATTCTGAGGAACTGACTGTACAATACTGAAAGAGAAAGTCACGTGGGGGAAGCTGACTACTATTTCCTTTCACCCAGCGCGCGCGCACGTGTGTGTGTGTGTGTGTGTGTGTGTGTGTGTGTGAGAGAGAGAGAGAGAGGGAGAGAGGGAAAGAGAGAGAGGGAGAGAGGGAAAGAGAGAGAGGGAGAGAGGGAGAGTGAGTACAGGGGAGAGAAGAAGGTCAGCAGATGTGTGACAGCATCAAGGCGCAGGCGGAGGGGAGCCACATCCGGGGGGCTGAGAGCCATTAGCCTTCGGAGTCCCTGGAGCGGGAGGGGGGCTCTCCCCAGCTTCCGGTTTCCCCCCACATAGGGCGCTGACCCCAAGCGGGGAGGGGGCTGAGGTCGGGGGAGGGGCTGGAGAAGGATGGGAGGTGGGGCCTCCTTTGCCCTCCCCTGTGGGGGGAAGAGAGACCACGATGTACTTCTGGACACTCCCGGGACCAGAGGGGGCAGTGCTGGGGGGCGCGCTTGTGGCGGTGGAGACCAGCTTGACGATGGGCTGCACGCTGGGGACGGTGGTGGTGACAGGAGAGGTAGTGGTGGAGCCTGAGCCAGGGGCCGAGGTGCTGAGGGACAGGACCTGGGCGGGGAGAAAGGCAGTGCCGCTTGCCTTGCACTCTTCCCACACCCGAGGCCGGGGGATACTTCCCTTGCTCCAACCAAATAATCGGTGACATGGTGACAGTCCCCACCACCCCTGGTCCCACACGGCTTCACATACCTGTTGGGTGGATGAGGCGCTGGAGGATGATGACATGACAATGAACTTGGTTGGGGGAGGGGAAGGCTGAGGCGGGGCAGCAGCTCGAGCAGACACCAGTGTCTGGACAGGCAGCGCAATGGAGCCAGGGACCTTCAGCAAGCCAGGGGTCCGAGGGCCAGGCTGGGGGGCCTGTGAGAGGGTCAGCGTGGGCCGGGGCTGTAGGAAGAAGCAGCAGGAAGAAAACGTCACCATCTATGAAAGATACCAGCTATGAAAAGAAGGGCTCCTCTTGCTCCTCGTGGGTCTCACTGGGTTTGGGACATCATCACAAAGGGGGCCTGGACACCCCCAAAGACGGCTGACTCAGGGGGCCTGTGTTTTACAAAAGTCAGTGTGTGTGCCCGAGTTCGTGGTGTGAGTCCCGCCTGGATGGGAACCACTGCCGTGTTTTTCTTCATTTTCACCTTACCACTTGCTCACCTGTCCTCCCCGGACCCTGTACTGACCTGAGTGATGGTCAGAGTGGTCCTGTTGACCTGCTGAGCCTGCAGAGCAGCCTGGGCCCGGGCCTTGACAACGTGGGAGCAGAGGAGGGGCCCGAGGGACCCAAATTCTGCCCGATAGGCATCCTGATTGTCAGGCGGTGGGCGCAGCTTTGCCAGAACAGGGGCACAGTGTTTCTGCAGAGAGAAGGCAAAGAGCAGCCAGGTAGAGGGAGGGCAGTGACTCTGAGAATCATGATGGGGGAAGGGGTGAGAAAGGAGGTCACCCACTATTTCAGTGTTCCTGCTGGAAGCCAGGCTGTGCTAGGTTATCAGTGTGTAAGGAATGCTGTGGTTTTTCTTCATAGAGAACTTGGGCACTAGCTGGTGGGAGTGGAGAACTTGCTGAGTAATTACGCTGGTGATATCTAAGGTCCACAGGGCATGTGCCTTGCACAGAATGGGCCAGAGTGGTGCAGAAGCATCAGGGGCAGTGCAGGCTTGAAGTCACAGGCTGAGAGTTAAGACTCATTTCTTACTTAACCCCTTAGTGCCTCAGTTTTTCCAGCTGCGAAACAATATGGGACTCTGAGGTGTGCCCTGAACGTAAGAGGCGAAGATGGGATAGATGAATGAAAGATGCTGTATGTTTGCTAAACATTATCCTTGTGTGTGTGTGGTGGGGGGTGGAGAGGGGGATCAGCGGGAAGAAATGGGGGAGGGTGGGGGTGGGGCTTTGTCACCAGGAGGAGGCTCTGCACGTGGTCAGCCCCTATGCGGTCGATGTTGCTCAGCACAGGGCCATCCAGGACCCCGCGGATCCGCTCCCCCTCCTGCTGTAGCCGCGGCAGAATCAGAGTCTTAATCACCTGTTGGAAGAGAAGGGGAGAAGCCGGGGCCCTGGGGTCACCACAGTGTCTCCCAGGTCAGGGGGCTGTTGCCCACTCTGACCTCACGATCCCTCCCCTCCCCCAGGGCTCCCCCCCGCCGCTGGGGCCTAACATCATGTCCCAGCTCTGCCAGGCCTGCGATGGAGCCGTAGCGCGTTGTCCACGGGGTCTTCTCATCCACCCAGCTCTGTAAGGGGATGGAAAATAAACCCAAATAAAGGGGTGTGAAAAGCTAACTACTAAGGACCAAAGTCTCTCATACACAAATTTTCCTAGTAAACCATTAAGACATGACAGCTCCTTCCCAGCCACCCTCTCCTCCCCAAAGTAGCCGTTATTCTGACCTCTACCACCAGAGATTAGTTTTTCTGGTTTTTGAACTTTAAGTTAATGGAATCACACAATTAGGAAAAAAAAAAAAAAAGACACCAGAGATGCAGCTCAAGTCCCAGTCCCTGTCCCCCTGCCCCCTTGCCCCTGGGTTTCAGCATCATTTCCTGCAGCCACAATGGTTTGAGTGAAGCTCTCATTGTTCTGGTGACAACCCCAGGTAGTGATGGGAAACGGCTCACCTTGGTGAAGGTCTTGGTGATCCGGGACTGGATGTTGTTAGTGGTTGTGCTGAAATGCTTGCAGATCTGGGCCACCAGGCGGGCGGCGAAGTCCCGGAGCGCCCAGTGATTGTCCACATCTGGCCGCAGGCACAGCTGTCTGCTCACGATGCAGGTCATCACAGCCGGGATCAACTCATGCACCTAAGGGAGAAGCCTCGAGTCAGCTGATTCTGACAAATGGTCTCCTGTGGGTGGTGGCAGGGTCCCCAGAGCCTGGGATGAGAGGTGGGCGGGCAGGTCCACTCACGTATTTCTCTAGATACAGAGTAGGGTTGTCCATCAGCGCCTTCACCATGCGCATCAGGTAGATGAGCAGGGCCAGGTTGTTCTGCACCACGTTCACGCGCACCTGGTTGCGGGGAGAGAAGCGATGGGGCAGCGGGACCCTTCCGGTGAGCTTCCTCTCCCTCCTCCTCACCCCGGAACCTTGTCCTAGGTCCCCCCCTCCCGCGTCCTCTCACCCCCTCTGAGATGAAGGTGCTGAAGCGCGGCAGCATCTGGTAGAGCCCCGGATCCGTGGCGATGCTCTGCAGAGCCTCCTGTGGGGGGAGGGGAGCGAGTGAAGAGGGGCCGACACTGCGGGGGGCGCGGGTGGCCTCGAAGGGGTAAAGCCAGGGCCGGGTGGCGGGGCCTCACCGCTCTCTTGGCCTCACATGAGCCCACACAGGCTTCTGTGATCTCCTTGTAGTACAGCTGCTGCTCCACAGACAACTCGTGGATGCTTCGGGGCTTCAGTCGCAGAGGCGCCCCCTCCAGCAGGGGTGGCGCCTTCTTCTCTTTCCCTGTGTGAAGTGGGAAGACAGGTTTAGAAAAGAAAGCTCCAGAGGAGGCCTCAGCGCCAGACACACCTCAACCCTCACCTCCCCCACCCAGGGAGACCCGGCTTCCCTTGGGCTTCTTGATCCTCTCTGGGGCTCCTGGCCTGAGGTCTTGCCCTCTGCCCTGACCTCACCCACTTCACAAATGACCATCTGGCTTTGGGGCAAGAGGCCTGGCCCAGCAGTACTGACCTTTGCCGTCAGCTGGAGTGGCCCCCTGACCTTTGCCTTTCAAGGGGCCGTCTTCCTCCTGGCCCGGCTTGGCTGACTTCAGGGGTTCTGTGGCCTCAGCCTTCTGCTGCTCTTTGGGAGCTGGTGGGAAAGCAGTCAAGGCAGGAGATGTAAAGGGAGGAGGAGGGAGAGGGGTGGGTGCTGGACGCTGGGCACGGAGGTTACCTGGGGGTGGGTTCTCTGGAATAGCTGGCTGGCAGCCTTCAATGCTCAGCCAGTGAGCTGCGAGGAAGGAAGGTGTCAAGGTGAACTGCTGAGCGCAGACATCGGGAAGTCACTCCACACCAAGGGATGCGTGCTTTCCTTCCTGTTCCTCACCAGGGATCTCACACTGAGGGCTCCTTCACCGCGTGCTTCCTCACACCCATACACATTGCTCCTTCCCCTCCCTGCTCCCCATCCCCTGCTCTCCCCTCCCCTCCCCCAACCTTTGAGGCAGACATCCAGGGGCACTCGGGGCAGAGGGGTATTGATGATGTCGCTCAGATCAACCTCCTTCTCCTCGTAGAAGTAAAGCTCCCGGCCGCCACCAGAGGCGAAACGGAAAGGAATGAACTCCTGAGCGTGGAAGCCATACAGTGGCTACAACAGGATGGAGAGACACTGGGATGAGAAGGGAGCCCAAGCAGGCAGGTCTGGCTGAGGCAAATGTACCGTATGGGAGGTCTCAGTACCCTGCCCCCTCAGTCCTGTGCATTCCCATCACCTCGACGTTCTTTAGCTTCAGTGCGTAGTCAATATCACTGGTGGTGAGCTTCTGCCGCTTCCCCATGTGCATAAACTTCAAGGCATCCTAGGGATGGGAGGACGGATGTCAGCCCAAGACCCTGGGGAAGAAGGCGGCCTGGGCAGCACCCTCCATGCAGTGCAGTGAGGCCAGGGTACCTGTGCAATCTCCTTGATGCGGTAGCTGACCTCATCTGTCAGCAGCTGGCAGGTCTCCTCCTGAATCTGAGCGATGCCCATGGACTCGGCCACCACCTTCATGGACTCCGAGGGCAGCACGGTGTTGCTCAGCTTCAGCTTCTTCTCCTCAGCCATTCTGGAGCCCCTCCTCCCCTCCCCTGAAGGAAGATGCCCCAGGGCGGAGAGATGGAGACCCTGGCAGGGGGGTGAGAGGAAACGTGAGAGGGACATCCCAAGAAGAGGGGCTGTCCGTTCAGGAGGGGCCGCAACAAAGGGAAAACAGTGGAGATGTGAGGGGGGAAGGGGCTCAGGGGGTGCCCTTTGTCCATCCCCATGTGAACAGCACCAGAGGTAGCACTTGGACACAGTTCGACACAATTTATCGAGCTGATTCTACGCCAGGCACAGTACAAGTGAGGTATAGTGGAATGATCTCAGCTCTCAGTTTAAATCCCACCCCCGGCACTACCTAGCTATGTTACCTGGGCAAGTTACTTAAATTCTCCCAGCTTTGGGTTTCTTCTCTGTAAAATGTGGAAAGCATCTTTTTTCCCTAAGGTTGTTAATGTGCCTGCTTTCATGTGTCTTGCTCCGTCATGCATCATTATTCACACTTGACAAAAATACAACATTGGTTAAAAACAACTCTCCCTGTCTGAGCCTATGTGCCCTTACAATTGAATGTGATGAGAAAATGCACAACCATCCTGACCAATGTGCACTTTTTTCATGGCCACGAACTTCAAACGGGCCCTTAATGCTGCCTGATGGTCCTACCTTTCAGTGCACCCAGGTTCCTTCTGTCTCATCTGACACCTCTTCTCCTCCCTGATTTTTGGCCATCAGAAGAGACCTCCCCAGGCTCCCACCACCACGTGCACCCGCTGAGCAGCAAGGGCGCCCTCATGCTCTGCCTTCCCTTTCACTGTAGAGATTCTGGTCATGCCCCTCCCAACTCAAGCATCCCTCCAGCATCCCCCCCCAATCCCTGCATCATCGTCAATTCCTCGACCTACCAGATCACTCCCATTAGCCCTACAAAATGCAGTTATTTCTCCCATCTTCAAAAAACAAAACAGTGGTCCACCCATACCATGGAATATTCTTCAGCCTTAAAAAGGAAGGAAATTCTAACACACGCCACAACACAAATAAACCTTGAGAACGTTGTGCTAAGTGAAATAAGTCAGTTACAAAAGGATAAATACTGTATGATTCCAATTATATGAGGTTCTTCGAGTAGTCAAATTCATAGAGACAGAAAGCAGAGTGGTGGGTGCCAGAAGCTGGGAAGGGGAGAAGGGGGAGTTATTGTTTAATAGGTACAGTTTCTGTTTTACAACATGAAAAGCGTTCTGGAGGTGGATGGTGGTGATGGGTGTGAATGTACTTAATGCCCCTAACGTGTACACTTAAAAATGGTTAAGATGGTACGTTTTATGTTATGTGTATTTCACAGTTAAAATTTTTTTAAAAATCTTGGACTTCCCTGGTGGCGCAGTGGTTAAGAATCTGCCTGCCAATGCAGGGGACACAGGTTTGAGCCCTGGTCTGGGAAGATCCCACAGGCCGCAGAGCAACTAAGCCCGTGCACCACAACTACTGAGCCTGTGCTCTAGGGCCCGCGAGCCACAACTACTGAGCGTGCGTGCCACAACTACTGAGCGCACGTGCCACAACTACTGAAGCCCGCGTGCCTAGAGCCAGTGCTCCGCAACAAGAGAAGCCACCGCAATGAGAAGCCCGCACACTGCAATGGAGACCCAACACAGCCAAAAATAAATAAATAATTTTAAAAAGAGAAAAACATCTTTTCTTCATCCCACTTTCTCTACTAGCGATACTCTGGGGGTTTTTGGCTCCTCTTTGCAACAAAACTCCCTGAAAGAGCTGTCTTATCTCTAATTCCTCTTGAACCTACTCTAGTCAGGCTTTTGACTCCATTAGGTGCCTGAAACCACTCATCAAGTTGTGACTCTACATTGTCAAATCCAAAGTCCCATCTCCTTCCCCATCTTCCTCGACTTCTCAGCAGCACAGGGCATAGTTGCCTACTACCTTCTGGAGACACTGTCTTGACACCACTGCTACTCCACCTTCTCTTGGTTTTCCTCCTCCTTCACTGGCCACTTTCTCTACGTTTCCTCTGCTGCTGCTTCCTCTTCTCCTCGTCTGCTTGATGTTGCAGAGCCCTGGGCTTGGTCCTTGTACAGCTATGAGCTATACTTATTCCCTTGGTGACCTCAACCATTCTCACAGCTTTCAGTATCGCTTATAGGCTGATGATGGCAAATGTATATCCCCAGCCCAGAGCTTTCTTCCTAGCTCCAGACCTGTATATCAAACTGGCTACTTAGAATCCCTTCTAAACTGAACTCCTGATGATCCCACTCCACCAGCTCCAGCCTCGGCTTTTCTCATCTTCATAGCAACACCATTCATCCAGGTGGTCATTCATTATGTGAGCCCTCAAAGCTAATCCACCAGGTGATCCAATCTGATCCTCCACTCCCACTGTGTGACCAGCTCCCAGCATCTATCCCCTGGGGAACTTCAATAGCCTCCTGATAAGGTCTTCCTGCTTCCACCCTTGCTCCCTACATCTATTCCCAACATAGCAACCAGAGTGATTCTGTCAAAAAATAAACCACTTTGGGTCATTTCTCTGCTCAAAACCCTGTACTGGCTCCCAATGTGCCACAGTGTAAATTCGAAATCCTTATTATGGTCTACAAGCTCCTTCATGATTTACTCTCTCCCCATCACATCTCTGACCTCCTTTCCTTCCTTCTTCCACGTTGATCCAGCCTCACTGTCCTCCTTGCTGTTCAAACCTTTGCTCTATTCCCTCTGCCTGGAATGCTCTTCCCCAGATGTTCCCTGGCTGCCTATTCCCATCACCCTCTTTAATACTGCACCCCACCCCCACTCTGCTTTTTTAAAAAAATTCCCATGGAATTTAACATCTGCTGATACATATTGTATTATTTCTTATTGTTTATCACCACCACATCTCCGCTTCCCGCACTGTGTGGACAGGGATCTTTGTTACGTTCACTGATGTATTCTGACACCCCGGACTGGTGCCTGAGACACACTAGATACTCAATAAATACCTGCTGAATAAAGGAATGAACTGTAAGGCTTAGGAATTAGGTGCTCACTAAACCCTCAAGTACCACTGTTATCAAGTGAACAAGATATAAGCCCAAGCTTGGAATCTACTTTGTGTCCAAAAGGAAAGTGGCTCGCTCAAGCTGGCATTAGGAAGACTAATGTCAAAGGTGTTTTGGACTGACTGCGAGGTGTACGTGGAGGGCGGGTGTGGGCCTGTTGGAGGGGCGGGAAGATGGGAGCGAAATACAAGTTAGTTCTTCTCAAACCATCCTAGGTCTCCTCCCCCGCTTGTATAAGTCTTATCTGCAGGGAACACATTTATTCAACATACTCTGTGCCTGGAGCCGGGTATACAGGAGGCGGTCATGTCCCAGTTCCCTGGCGAACTCCTACTACTCCTTCAATACCCCGCGGTACCCTCTGCTAGTACAGGCTCAAATAACACGCCACGGCCTCAGGAAATCTCAGGTCAGTGGAGTCGGCAGGAAGGCTTCCCAGAAGAATAACTTGACCTAGATCCGTGTAGCAGTTTCCCCAGCAGGGAAGCAGGTCTAAGGTCCCCAGGCAATGGGTGCAGCGAGAAAGAAGGCGTAGAGAGCCCACCTCATCCCCCCAACATCCCTCCAATGCAAACACACAGAGTTCCCACGCGCACGGACACACAACCAACCGTCCTCCTCCGGGTCCCCACACGGGCCCTTCAAAGGGTCTAGTCCCGGGTACCACTCAGACCCGCCCCCGCCAGTCGAGCGCCCAGCGCAGGAAGAGCCTCTCACCACCGCCAAAGCGCCGCTCACCCGGCGCTCGGCGCCATGTTGGCCCCGCCCCCTCCAGGAGCAGTTCCTGGCAGAGACCGAGAGCAGGTCTCTGCCCCTTCCACGAGACGGAATAAGCTCCCTAGGCTCAGGGCCTGAAATTATATAAAAATGCTGTCTCTGTGCCTACGTGTAAGGAGCACACCCTCTTGCTGTAATTACTTCAGTTTATTCCTTCACTATCCGGCAGCCAGGACCTTTGGGAGGCGCCACAAAACCAGGCGGGGAAGCCCGCATTGCCGCGAAGCCCCGCCCCCTTCGAGCCGGCACTGCGCTTGCGCTTCCCCTGCCAGGCTGGGTTAAAGTTGCAGCCGAAAGCCTTGGGATTTAAAGGGCCCGCTGCCTGACCGAAGTTGGTTTGAAGGCAGGAGGTGGTTGGCTGTGGACGGCACTTGGTCATGGGACCTGTGCGGTTGGGAATGTTGCTTTTCATTTTGACTGTGTCTGGGACGCCGAAGGAGGAGGACGATGACACAGAACGCTTGCCCAGCAAATGCGAAGGTATCTAAAGGGAGTAGCCCCTATTCTCATCCCTCTGCCCCACCTCCGTCTGGGCCAGACCAAATGGACCGTGATGGGTGGGTCATCTGACCTCCTTCAGGACCTGAGGGAGGTTCTGATGGAGCCTGGTGGAATTCGAATGGGGTCAACGGAGGGAACGCATAGCGCTACCCCAAAACTATGGCACTACAATTCCCATGAGACATCCAGAGGGAGCCCGCTTTTTCTTGCTGGTTTGGGCCCCCCAATGGTTTGTGGGAATTGTAGTGCAGAGACTATCGGCTCAGGACCGACCACTTTACTGAGCATCGTGTGTGTGTGTGTGTGTGTGTGTGTGTGTGTGTGTGTGTGTGTCCTCCATGCCACCAGACCTAAATCTGAAGAGACTGCAGGAGTGAGGTGTCAGGCTCATTACCTGTGGACATCCTCTGCTCCACCCCAGCGGAGACGCTCCCAAATTATAGGCCCCACGCCCTCCTGAGGGGTTTGGGAGTGAGTACGTCAGCCTTTGAAGCTCATAAAAGAAAGAGGAGGCCACACAACTGGGAGAGGTTCCCCGTAACTGTGAGGTTTTGCAGAGGGTGTGCACTGTATGGATTTTACCGTGAGCAGCATCTTCTGTGACTGTATCACCTATGGGGCCCATCTGGGAGGGGGCACTTCAGAGTGCCCTGGTCCCCTGGTTTGTTGACTCCCTGGCTTTAATTTCTTCCTGGATTCTTTTCCCCTTCGGCTCACTCCACGCTGCATTTCAGTAGCAGTGTTCCTCCTGACTTGGTCCTCATCTCTCCTCTCCTTTCATTTGTGTCCCTACTCTTGACCGCCTACACCTGTCAGTTCTTCTAAACACAGACTCAATTGTGTACGTCCTTGCTTTAACACCTCTTCAGGCCTCCTGCTGTGATTAGACTACAGCCAACGTTTCTGGCAGAGCATCCAAGTGTTTGTGGTCTGGCCTCCATCCTTCTTACATTTCCATACCCCACCTCCCATCCCCAAAGTGCCCATGCTTCAGCCATATTGAACCTCTCAGTGGTCACTGAGCCTGCCTCATCCTCTCACACCTCTCTGCCTCTGCACATTGTTTTTTTCTTTGCCTGGAATGATCCTTGCCCTTCTGTATTTGGTTCTTCAAGACCCAGTTTAAATGTCACCTCCTTTGGAAGCCTCCTTCCTGATCTGTCACCTCCCACTGCATTGGAGGGAAGGAGAGTACCTGTGTCTCCCTGTGTATCCTTAGCATAGTGCCATAGGCACATTTGGGACACTTTTGCTCCTTGCCCCTGTGTTTAGTTTGCTTGGCACTTCTGTATAGGCCTGTCCTTTTCTTGGGACCCACTGGTGCTGGGAAGACAGTGGTGGAAGAGACACAATGCTCATCCTTGAGGAAATCGTAGGCTAGTAGGAAGTCCATGAACGACCATTGAATGAATTTTGTATTTCCTAGTGAGATTAAGTCTCTTGATAGAGTCCATTACACAATATTGTCACCACCTTTTTATCTATCCCCAGAGACATTGGCAATGTCCTGTGGATAGATCATGGGTCTTATTACTCTCTGTATTGCTATTGTGCATCCAGAAGGGGCTCAACAGATAACTGCAGAAAACAGCAAACACTTAGGCAGTGCTCACCACGTGCCAGGCACTATTCTCGGGGCTTTACATAGATTGATTGATTTAATCCTCACCACACCCCTGTGAGGGAGGTACTATTATTATCTTCATTTTAGAGGTGAAGAAACCAAGGCACAGCAGGATTGTCACCCAGCTACTAAGTGCCTGAGTCAGGATTCCAGCCTTGCCAGGCTGGCTCCAGAGCCTGCACCCATAACCATTGTGCTCTGCTGCCTTTGCTTATCTGCCGAATGAGTTGCTGCTTTGTTTGTTTGTCTTTCACGTCCCCTTGGATATCTAGTATGTAAACTGCTGAGCCTGGAGCTACAGGACGAGCTGAGTCGCACTGGCCGATCTCGAGAGGTGCTGGAGCTGGGGCAGGTGCTGGACACAGGCAAGAGGAAGAGACACATCCCTTACAGTGTTTCGTGAGTTCTTCTTGGTGTTCTTCCACCTTCCAATCCCCGAAGGAGCCCTGGGAGCGCCCACAGCATCCAGGGAGTCTTTGTTTCCCCTCTTCCCACAGAGAGACAAGGCTGGAAGAGGCCTTGGAGAATTTATGTGAGCGGATCCTGGACTACAGTGTTCATGCCGAGCGCAAGGGCTCACTGAGATATGCCAAGGTCAGACTCTTCTCCAGGGCAGGATCCCATCTCTCAGAAACTACAACCTGTACCCCCTGAGGTCCTCACGATGTCTGCCCAGCTCCCCACAGCTCTGGAGTGTCCCCTCCCCATCGTAGACTCCCTCATCTCATCTCTATGGAACTCACCGGGGTCTCCAGTAGTTGACAAAGCTGATATGGCAAAAAGGGGAGGAGGCAGGGCAGTGGCCTGGGCTGATCTCAAATTCCCATCTCTCAGGGGCAGAGTCAGACCATGGCAACGCTGAAAGGCCTGGTGCAGAAGGGGGTGAAGGTGGATCTGGGGATCCCTTTGGAGCTGTGGGATGAGCCCAGCGTGGAGGTCACGTTCCTCAAGAAGCAGGTAGGATAGGTTACTGCACTGCCCAGGAAGGTGAGAAGGGAACCTGAGACGGGAGCTAGATCCTAAGGAGGTCCATCTTTGAGCAGAGCAGGGACTCTGCCATTGACTGAAGTGGGCCCAGGAGCATATCAAGAAGTAATAATGGAGGCTAATGATATATACTGCCACTTACTGAGCACCTACTGTGTGCCCGATTTGGGGCCACAAACTTTCCAGCTGCTGCCTCATTTTACCCTCACAACAACCTGATGTGGTAGGTACTATTACCACTTCCCATTTTACAGGCAAGGAACTGAGACTCAGAGTATAATAACTTACTTGGCAGCGTAGGTGCTGGTTAATGTCTGTTGAATGAATGAGGATCACACATCTAATAGGCCAAGTTTAACCTCCTGGTTCCCTGCCTTTCCGAAGTGGGGTGGGGAGACAGGGAGTGAAGAGCAGAGAGGAGGGTCTGCAGAGGCCAGCAGAGCAGATACCCTTCTGACCTTTACACCTGATCAGTGTGAGACGATGCTGGAGGAGTTTGAAGACGTCGTGGGAGACTGGTATTTCCACCATCAGGAGCAGCCCCTACAGCATTTTCTCTGTGAAGGTCATGTGCTCCGAGCTACTGAAACTGGTAAGCCTGGCGGCTGGCCCCTTTCTTGCCAGGTCACAACCTTCCCTCTCCCCAGGACCAATATCTAAATTGTTTTCTATCACCCAACCTAGCATGTCTACAGGAAACTTGGACTGGAAAGGAGAAGATCACAGATGGGCAAGAGAAGACAGAAGAGGAGGAGGAGGAGGTGACTAACACACCAGGCCACCCCAAGCATGACCCAGAGGAACTCTGACCTTTGCCTTTGAGCCCCCAGGAGGGACAGGGGTCTTGGAGAAGAACCCTCTGAAGTCTGAGCGCTCCCTGCCCCACAGCTTTTAGAGTGTATGTGTGAGTGACCCCACCCTAGAGCTTGTAGCTCTTCTCTCCCGTGTAGTCTCAGGCAGGATCCTGGTGGTGCAGCATGGCATGGCTATGGGGAGAAAGGTGGGAGCAGTAAGTGGAAGCCCGGCACCGACAGATGAGTCCTCCACCTGCCATTTATCCCCTTGTCAGGTGTGGGTGGTGACAGTATTGAGATGTTTAAATATGTCTGCTACTCCCCACCGGACCCAGAGGTCAACATGGCTTAGAAGCGGTGGACCTTAGCAAAGTCACTTTGCCCCTCGAGGGTCTGTTTTTAGACTCATAACAAAGAAGCTGAATGGACATTCTCTCTACGACCTATACACGGTGCCGGCATCTAGGAGGCTACATGCCAACAGTCTGTGAACGGGAAGGGGACACTGGATGGGGACGGGGTAATATTGATAAGTTAGGTGGGGTAGACACTTGGTCTACTTCATATTAATTTCACTGCAGGGCCACTACGTAATATCAAAGGTGCCAAATTTTCTATAACGCTAGTAAACTTTTTTTAGAATATCAGCTGGGCCCCAAATTTCAAACAACTGCCATGCACACATCTTAGCTGGCCGGTACGGCAGCGCCCAGTGAATAGGACCGTTGGTCGCCGTCCTGTTAAAAGCTAACGGTGCTTTGTAGTTTTGCAGCCCAAGGAGGGTGGCGTGGATCAGGGCGCTGAGACAGGTTTCGGGCTTGGGACTGCGCAGCCGCGATCCGCGCATGCCTGAAAACGCGACGGAATTAAGTTACGTGCGCGGCGACGCCTGGGCCGCCATACTTGGGTGACGGCAGCTCGCAGAGGACAAACTCCCACGCGCTTTTCCCGTGTCTCTTCTTTCCTCAGAGTGAGGCAAGACCTAAGAGGAGCTAAAACTAGGTCCAAGGTAGAGAGCGGCTCCGGTTAGAATGAAGAAAATAACAAGGTTATCTCCGGAGGGTGGCGGTTGAGGACCTCACACGCGAGCGGGGTGGTGGCCGAAGACGCTGAGGGACGAGTGCATTCTCCCCGAAGTTCAGTTGGGCGATGCCAACTTAAGGGTCTGAGAGGGGTGGCAAGGAACTGAGATTCACTCCGCGGAGGCTGGGCGAGTGTGGAAACCCGAAGGGAGCGGACAGTCGCCGAAGGCCCCACTTCCTTTCCCCAGCCCGTCCCTCTCCGGCCATGAGCGGTGTAGTGCGCACCGAGCCGCTGCGCGGGGAGCCTCCGCTGCGGGTGCCCGGCGACGCCTTTTCTGTGGTGGTTCTGCTGCAGGGCTACGCGGAGCCCGAGGGGGTCGGCGACGCCGTGCGCGCCGACGGCTCCGTGACCCTTGTTCTGCCCCAGGCCTGGGGCCCGGCCTCCGGCCACCGAGAGCCCCCGCCCGAGGACTACGAGGCGAAGACCGCCCTGGAGGAGGCGGCCCGTGGCCCCATCCTCGTGGACACCGCGGGGCCCTGGGCTCGAGAGGCACTCTTGGGGGCCCTGGCAGGGCAGGGCGTGGCCCCGGGAGATGTGACTCTGGTGGTGGGGACCCACGGACACTCGGACCACATCGGGAACCTGGGGCTGTTTCCCGCGGCGGCCCTGCTGGTCTCGCACGACTTTTGCCTCCCCGGGGGCCGCTACCTCCCCCACGGGCTGGCTGAGGAGCAGCCTCTGCGGTTGGGGCCGGGACTCGAGGTGTGGGCCACGCCCGGCCATGGTGGCCAGCGGGACGTGAGCGTGGTGGTGGCTGGCACGGCCCTGGGTACCGTCATGGTAGTGGGCGATGTGTTTGAACGTGATGGGGACGAGGACTCGTGGCAGGCGCTGAGTGAAGACCCGGTGTCCCAGGAGCACAGCCGGAAGAGGGTCCTAGCCACTGCCGACGTGGTCGTGCCTGGTCACGGAGCCCCCTTTAGGGTGATCAGGGAAACCTCGGCGCCAGAGACAGAGGGTCTGGGGAACAGCCGGCCAGATCTCGTGATCGGAGACAAGGAGCCCACGGTGCACCGATAAACCCCAGTCTTGACTGAATTCCTTTCAGGGACCCCAGCCCCCCACCCCCAGACAAGAAACTGACGTCCAGGACACGAGAGGATATGTCAGAGAGGAGTCATGGGTTGTCACTTCCAGCCCTCGCAGGAGGCCAGTTTTCCAGCGAGGACAGAGTACTTTTGCCACAGCTGTCACCAGTATCACTAGGACCAAAGACTGGCACAGCTGTGTGACACCTCTCGGGCTTCATTAGTAAAATGGCAGAATGTTCTTGGGAGAGTCTTCCAAAATAAAAGTAGAAACTGCATTGAAAATCATACTGCCCTTCAACTATTCTCCAATAAAAAATAAAAAAAAGTCATACTGCCCTAAATGTAAATGTGAAGCGTTCATAGTGATAATCATGCAGATATAATCCAGCAAGTGCAACAAGGAGACACTTTGGCGATACATCGCCTGTTTCTCAGAGGAAGCAGCTTGCTGAGAGAAGGTGCAGGGCAGACAGGTATTCTAGTCATCTGACTTTAAGTTATTAATTCGTTCAATGAATGCTGCTTAACACACCTGCAATGTCTCAAGCACGGCTCGAGGTCACGGGGATACAGCAGTGAGCAAGCCAGACAAACTCAAGGAGACAGGTAAATAATAATAGTAGTAAACCAAATAATTACGGGTTCTGGTTACTGATATGCAGAAAAAGCAGGGTGAGAAGGGTATAGAGTGCTGGGGTGGGAGAGTGGTCAGGAAAAGCCTCCGAGGTGATGTTTGATGAGAGAACTGAATGAGAAAAAGCTGGCCACACGGAGGTCTGGGAGAGGGGCATTCCAGGCACTGGAACAGCAGGTATAAAGGCCCCGAGGCAGGCTTGACCTACTTGAGCAGCAAGAGGACCTTGGGGTTGGGTTGCAGAGCGCTGGGGAAGAGTGGCAATAAATGAGCCTACAGAGTTGGGCAGCGACATCTTGCAAGGCCTTGGTAACCATGGTTAGGGGTTTGGATTTGTCCTGAGATAGAAGGCTTTGGCTTTATACTGATACAAAAGACCAGGCCGTTGACCTGGTTTCATTTACGTTTTAAAATAACCACTCTTGTTCTGAGTGGAGAAGGGGTTGGAGTGGGGCAACAATAGAATGGGCTGGACTAGATCGAAAGCCATTGCGGTCTTCAGGTGAGAGAGCTTGATGGCACCTGCCCTTATCCCAGAAGTCCTGTTGTGGCTGTGGTCCTCTTCACAGCTGGGTTCCTGAGCTTGGGTCTTCCGTTCGCACAGCCCCAGGGTGGACAGAAGCACTCAGTTGGGAAGAGGAAAGAAAGGAGGAAGTCCACCTTGTTGTGGACGATGAGCCTCTCCGGGTGGACGCTGTCACGCAAGGCCAGGCTGGAGGTCATTTCCCAGGCGTCCACGAAGGCCACATGGTCAGCAAAGGCAGCTCAGAGGAGCGCGTTCACCTGGAGGGTAAACCAGTTGCTGCTGTACATAGACTTGTAGCCGGTGTTGGCCAGTTCGATGATCACCAGGGTTCAGGGCTCCCAGGCCAGCAGTGCAGCCACGGCTGCCCAGATCCCTGCCAGTTGTTGCATAAAGATGGACAGAAGAAAGGTGGTGAAGTGGGTGCCCAGGCACCACCATGGTGTGGGGGCCCCCAGACCCCCCCCCCACTTCATGGGCCACCAATTGTAATGAGGCCACTGGTGTGTGGAGGGAGCGCAGGGGCCAGCTGTGCGTTCCAGTGCCGCACTATGCCCCGAGCAGTGTCCACGGCCATCAAAGAACCCAACTGATGCGTGGTGTGTAGATCCACTGGCTTCAGGGCTGCACGGAGGACGAGAGAGGAGGGGATGGGTTATTTAGAGCTGTACACTCTCAAGTTATACAGATAAAAGTTCCAGTCTTGACTTACTTTCTAGAACATGGATATCCTGCCCTTGACTCAGGGCTGGTCACCCAGAGCAACACATCCCTTTGGCCACACTGATTGTCTCCAGGATGGATGGGTCACCTACGCTAGTCCAGTCTTAGTAATCTTAGGGGTTTTGCTGGAGCTAAGGGAAAAAGTCTCATTCTTTCCTGCAAGACTGACATGGGAGGATGGGTCATCTTGCCCCCTTGTTGGAAGAGCCCGCTGGTGCTGGGGCCACCAAAGAGGGACTGAGAATGAGAGAATGAAGCTGAACGGTAGGGGGCAGAAGTGGGCAGTGAAGAGAAACAGACCAGATGACAGGTGTGAGCACGGGAAGCCAGGCTAATCATCTGGGCTAATCAACTCCTTTCGTGCCTAAGCTGTTCTGACTGTGTTTTCAGCTGTTTTCAAGATGAGTTGTGAATGGATACAAACACTGATGGAAATGATCCCTTAGAGGCAGGGAGTGAGGACAACAGCATGGGGAGACGGCTGACAACAGAGGGAAAAAGTGCTTAAGATATTAGGAGGTTGGGCCCAGAGTGATTGTTTCTTTCAAACTTCTTTTTTGTGAAAACTCTTAGGAAAACTGGACCTATATGATCAGCTTCCTCTACTCACAAGTCATTGGCAGACATTGGCTGCAGAATAACCCAGGCTTTCTTGCCCAGTGCTCTCCAAGAACAGCTCTCCGCTCCAGTTTGGGTGACTGCCCACTGCCTTTCAGACACCCACACCCTCCTCTCCTGCGGGCCTTTGAGCCCGCTCCCCCTCCACTCCCCATCCTCTCGCTTTTCTCCACCATCTCAAACACCCAGGCTCAGCTCTCTCACCTCCTACAGAAAACCTCCCCTGAATTTGCCAACCTTATTTTAAACTCTAGCTATGCCTTCTCTATATTGTTCACTTAGCATTAGGTGATACCTGGTGTTGGTCATTATTTTTGGAAATGTCCTCTCCCCACTGTGCCGCTTGAGAGCAGAAGCTGCAAGGCCACTTGAGGTCTAGGCTCAGAAATTGCAGAATATCACTTACATCACATTCTGTTGACCAAAGCAGGCCAGCCCAGATTCAGGGATGAGGAAATAACCTCTCCATCTTGATAGAAGGAGCTGCAAAGAATTTGTGGCCATTTTTTTCTGTTGCAACGTACCACAATGGGTTAGTGCACAAATTGGTGATGCTAAAAGTTCCCCTTTTTTGGGAGGTGGGGTGGTTATCCTAGGTTCTATTTTTATTTTTTGATTTTTTAAATTGAAGTATAGTTGATTTATAATATTATATTAGTTTCAGGTATACAACATAGTGATTCAATATTTTTATAGATTGTACTCCATTTAAAGTTATTACAAGTGGCTGTATTTCTCTGTGCTGTACAATACATCCTTGTTGCTTATTTATTTTATACATAGCAGTTTGGATCTCCTAATCCCATACCCCTATTTTGCCCCTCCCCCCTTCCCTTCCCTCACTGATAACCACTACTTTGTTCTCTAGATCTGTGAGTCTGTTTCTGTTTTGTTATATACATTCCTTTTCTTTTCCCCCCTTTGGCTGCGCTATGTGTCTTGTGGGATCTTAGTTCCCAGACCAGGGATCAAACCCAGGCCCCGACAGTGAAATTGCCAAGTTCTAACCACTGGTCTGCCAGGGAATTCCCGTGTTTTGTTATATACATTCTTAAATGCAATTTTTATGCCTTCTCCCATTGCCCAAAGCTCCTGTCAATCACATCACATCATTCCCTCTTCACTTCCGGAAGGGGGCAGCACTTACTTCACAGAGAAAGCAAAGACCGTTGTCCCACCTATCTCTGCTTCAAGCCACCTTACCAGAAAACTCTGCATTTGCACCCAGGCTCACCTCCAGAAGAGGGGTGATTTACCCATTTATTGTGGGTAGCTGTAATTCATTCATTTTCACATGCGTAGTATTCAATTTTGTGAATTACCATGTAGTGTTGGGAAAACTAGTTATCCACATGCGAAAGAATGAAATTAGACCCTTATGCCATACACAAAAATTAACTTAGAACAGATTGAAGACTTAAATGTAAGACCTGAAGCAATAGACTCCTAGAGGAAAACATAGGGGAAAAGCTCTTTGACATTGGTCTTGGTTGTGATTTTTTTGGATATGACACCAAAAGCAAAGGCAGCAAATGCAAAAACGAGTGGGACTACCTCAAACTAAAAATCTTCTTCATAGCAAAGGAAACAAAATGAAAAGGTAACCTACAGAATGGGAGAAAATATTTGCAAACTGTATACTTGGTTAATGTCTAAAATATATAAGGAATTCATACAACTCAATTGCAAAGAAGCACCCCAATTTAAATATTGTCAAAGGACATGAATAGACATTTTTCCAAAGAAGACATACAAATGGCCAACAGGTATATGAAAATGTGCTCAGCATCACTAATCATCAGGGAAATGCAAATCTGAACCACAATGAGATACCACTTCACACCTGTTTAGGATGGCTATTATCAAAAAGAAAAGAGATAACAGGTAATGGCGAGATTGAGGAGAAAAGGGAACCTGTGTGTACTGACTGTTAGTGGGAATGTAAATTGGTATAACCATTATAGAAAACAGTATGGAGTTTCCTCAAAAAATTAAAAATAGAATTACCATGGTAATTACCATTACCATATGATCCCAATCCCACTTCTGGGTATCCAAATGAAATGAACTCAGTATGTTAAAGAGATATCTGTACTCCAATGTTCACTGTAGCATTATCCACAATAGCCAAGATATGGAAACACCATAAGTGTTCATTAATGGATGAATGGATAAAGAAGATGTGAGATACACATATGTATACACACACACAGAGGAATATTATTCAGTCTTAAAAAAGAAAATCCTGCCATTTTTTGGCAGCATGGGTGAACCTGGAGGACATTTTCTAAGGGAAATAAGTCAGACACAGAAAGGCAAATGCTGTATGATCTCACTTGTATGTGGAATCTAAAAAGTTGAATTCATAGAACCAGAGGATAAAATGGTTGCCAAGGGCTGGGGAGTGGGGGAAATGAGGAGATATTGATCAAAGGGTACAAACTTTCAGTTATAAGTTCTGCGGATCTAATGTACAGCATGGTGATTATACTCAGCACTATATTGTATACCTGAAATTTGCTAAGTGAGTAGATCGTAGGTGTTCTTGCCACATACACAAGAAAAGGTAACTATGTGAGGTGATGAATGTGTTAATTAGCTTGATCATGGTAATCATTTCACGATGTATACATATATTAAACCATCATGTTGTACACCTTAAAAAAATCACACTATACAACCTAAATATATACAATTTTTGTTAGTCAGTTTTACCTCACTAAAGCTGGGGAAAAATAATTTTAAAAGCAGTTAATTTAATATTAGATATTGGAATGACAAATTCAAGTCAAAGCTGCTAACAAGAGCAAAAAACTAAAAGAAGAAATTGGAAAGATGGCCAAAAAGTAACAAATGGGAAAGCTGGTTTGAAGGCCACAGAGACTGTAAGGAACAGTAAATGGATCTAAATCATAAGCATGTTTGGCTCTGGGTTAGTTACCCCTATTAACAGCAACACCTTATGGTTAATTTAAATGTGACCCAAATAAGATCCCTTGCTCATTAATCTGGTATTAAATTTTCTATTAATTTGGTACTGAATTCAGAGGTTACCAAATAGGCATAGAAGAATCCCATCTGATAGTGGGCTTCTCCAAAGAAAATTTTTGCTTCTGCCAAAAATTTAGGCTAATAACTTCCTAGAGTGTGTTAAATTAACACAGGTTGAGACTTTTCAGACCAATGGTTCTGTGAATTTGGACTGCACATCTACCTAAGGGCTGGCTTGTGGGTATAAATTCTCCAGAAAGAGTTTTCTCTGTCTGTTCTGGACCAAGGTCCAAGACAGTCAAATTCTTCGAAATCCTCTGCTTGAGTGTGGCGTGGTGGTCTCCAGGTCACACAATATGAGGGTGTAGAACTTTGAGACCCTGACTTTATGCCAAGCAGGCAATTTCCTATTAGACTCACCACATTGTCAAAGACTTTGGGGTCTGTATCCTGCTCTTGGCTTCCTGAACACCAAATGGCAAGTTTCTTGAGCTTGGCAAATGCCCTCAAGGGGAAAGCAGTCTTTAGTGTATTACTCTCTGAGTTCCCAGTTTCGTTTAGATTTTGCCCTCTGATAATTCCTTTAAAATTTGACAGATTATCAATGCATTTATTTATTTAAAGTAGATAGAATGTGGTTTTTTTTTAAATTTTATTTATTTTTGGCTGCATTGGGTCTTCATTGCTGCACGCGGGCTTTCTCTAGTTGTGGCGAGTGGGGGCTACTCTTTGTTGTGGTGCGCCGGCTTCTCATTATGGTGACTTCTGTTGTTGCAGAGCACGGGCTCTAGGCATGCGGGCTTCAGTAGTTGTGGCACGTGGGCTCAGTAGTTGTGGCGCACGGGCTTAGTTGCTCCGCAGCATGTGGGATCTTCCTGGACCAGGGTTCGTACCTGTGTCCCCTGCATTGGCAGGCGGATTCTTTTTTTTTTTTTCATTTTGATGTATTTTATTTAACCCATGTATCCAAAATAATGTGTCCATGTGTAATCAATATTTTTAAATTGAGAATTTTGAGATTCTTTTTATTGTACTAAGTCTTCAAGATCCTGTGTATTTTACACTTAACAGGACATCTCAATTCATATGCTACCTTTTCTTTCTTTTTTTTTTTTTTTTTGCGGTACGCGGGCCTCTCACTGCTGTGGCCTCTCCCGTTGCGGAGCACAGGCTCTGGACGCGCAGGCTCAGTGGCCATGGCTCACGGGCCCAGCCGCTCCGCGGCATGTGGGATCTTCCCGGACCGGGGCACGAACCCGCGTCCCCTGCATCGGCAGGCGGACTCTCAACCACTGCGCCACCAGGGAAGTCCCATATGCTACATTTTCATCGGAAATACTTGATTTGTATTTAGATTTCATAAAACTTACAGTTGCAATTAGATTCCCATACTCAAGTTGTTCCAAACATACTTAGAAGTTGTCCGATAACTGAATTGAACGTCAGGTTTTTCTAAATTGATTTTTAAATTTTCTTTAATTTTAATTAATTTAAAGTATGGAATTTTAATTAAGGTGTGATTGGGGAACTGAATTTTAAGTTTCTTTTAATTGGATTCAGTTCCTCAGTTGCACTGAGTACAATTCAGGTGGTCTACAGCCACATGTGGCTAATGGCTGCCATACTGGACAGCACAGGTCTCTTGGCATTAAGAAATGAGACAGCTTCATCCTCTCCCAGCTCTCACTTCGTGAGGGTTCCTTCCCGTCTCTGTCAGTGAGATTCCTTTTGTGCTGCCATGAACCCAAGGTGATCCTGAAAGCCTCAGATTTGACCAGATCTCGAGACCTGCCATGAAGTTTGTCAGGTAGAAAGGGGTGCAAAACTAGCCCAACTTTCCCTTAAAGTCTTAAGACTGAGATTAACTGACCTTAGAAACAACTGATTCATACGTTCTGCCTCTCAGTAGCCACTTGTCTGCTAGAAACATTTTAGGCAAAGATCTTTCCCTTCCACCCTGCTCCCCCAACCTACATGCATCCTCTCTGTAGGTTCACCCAGAATCTGTCAGCATTCCGTGGAGAAGTCAACGACTCGATGAAGAATTCCACTTACGGCGTGAATAGCAATGATATGAGCTGACACCTCCTTGGACTCTACCTGTACAGAGCAGCGTCCCTTTGGTCTGGCCCAGAGGGGCGAACAATTACAATGGAGAGGGCCTGGCTGATCCTGGCCCCCTCCTCCAGGGGTGTGGGGAAAATGGCAAAGGTCAACTAGCTTCTTCCCCAGGGAATAGGGGTGTGAGTGCACTCACTAGGGGGGCAGGGCGCTGCTGGTTCCTGGGGGATTGGGTGGGAAGGGTGGTGGGAGGAGACAGAGACACAAATGTGTGAGACTCCAGCCCTCTCCTCCTGGGGCCGCCCACGGGGAAAGAACCCCAGTGTCCTGTCACAACCTGCCTTGTATAAACATATACATTTTTTCATAACATTTTGAACAAGGTTTATATTGACTCAAGTTTAAAAACAAAGTGTGACTGAAAATTTTTTACAGAGTCTAGTGCACCAATGCTGATGTGAGGGGTTATGTATGCAAGTGAGGAAAAAATGTGTATTCTGGTGGCCTGAAGCTTTACTGGACGAGGATGTGTGAACGTGCAGAGATATATTTAGTGACACAGTGTAGAGAGGCAAAAAAAAAAAGAAAAAAGTAAAAATTCCAAATGTATATTTTTTCTTATACCCTTTCCTTGCCCCCCAAATTATCACTTCCTGTTACTGTATCACCCTTGTTATTAGGAACTCTAAGCCATGTGGAGCACCATCCCTCCCCCTTCAACCCAGATGCTGCCCTAAGTCCCTTGGCCTCTTGCGGTGACAGACAACTCCAGCTAAAAGTGTTTGGTGTTCTTAGCTTCATCTTCTTTCCCACTTTGCTTATCCCCATCCTCAGACCCATGGCCTTGCCCTCCTCCTGGGATGAGAAGACAAGCAGAGCCTTCAAGGCCAGAGGGGAGGCCTGTGGAGGGGCCGCCTGCGGGGAGTCTCAGCACCAGGAGAGCGAGGACCAGGCTCCTTCCGAGGACTGAGGAGGGTAGGGGCCTTCCCCAAACCCGCCCACCCCTGCCATGACTGACACTTCCTTTATCAATCTGGCTTCTTTTCCTATATTGCAAAAGGGCCTCTCTGTGGTCAGTGCAAAGGGAACCATGACCTAGGGCTCCCTGCCCCCCTCTGCACACTGAGGGGCTGGTCCTGACCTGGGCCAGCTGGGGCCTCTCCTCTCTCCCTCAGCTCCCTGCCTCTGCCACCCCCTTGGCATCTCCTTAGGAGTCAGCCTCTGTGTCTCTGTGTGTCTCTCTCTCCTTTTCTCTGCTTCTCTGAGTGTCTCTCTCCTCCCAGGGAAAGGGGTGACAGCAGGACCAGTTCAGGCTCCTTCAGGGAGAGGTCCACGGCCCTGAGTCCCTGCCCAGCTACAGCCCCTTAGAGAGGAGGAGGAGGGAGCTGCTGGTGGTCAAGCCTCAGCCCCCAGCCCAGGACCAGGGGCACCCAGCATGCTGGTGGTCTCTCTCTCTGCAGGTAGGGGACACTGCAGTGCCCCCCTTCATCCCCAGGCAGAACCAAGGCCCACCAGGCCCCTCCCGCCCTGCTCTGCTCCCTGTGTGCAGTCTCACACCCTCCCTGAGTTGAGGTGAGGGTGGGCGCAGGTTCCCACCTACCCAGAAGGTGGGCCTTCTGGAGGCCACGCCTCCACCCAGAGATGCAGGACTGGATCTGCAGGACCCTCTGTCCTCACACTCTACAAGGAGGACACCGGGGCTCAGACACGCCCTGCCCCACGTCCAGGACTCTGAGGTGGCGGGTCCAGGACTTGAACTCCAGTCTTGCTGAGCCCACAGAGCCTTCTGCTCCTTCTGGATGCTTCCTCCTGGCTGCACCACAGAATCTCTGGGCCTCACCCTGTGAGTGCAGAGCCCTGCGGGGTGAGCCCGGTGACTGTATTTAATAACGCTTCTCAGGGGGTTCCATCTGCAGCTGTGCGACCCTGGCTCATCCAGAGCCTTCCCTGGACAGAGGGGATGAAGGTCAGAGCAGTCATGAGCCATCCAGCTGACAGTCCCTGGGACCCCCTCTGATGGAGGCCCTGCCCGCCTGTGACTGGTGGTGGGCGGGGTGAGAGATTGGGGGCTGGGAACTTTGGTGGCCCCCCAGGGCTGGCTGGGATGGAGGCTCTGCTCACCCGCTCTCCAGGATGACGTTGGCATTGGTTCACAGAATGGACCATGGGGGTGGGAGGACATGATTTGAACTTCCTTTTTCCTTTTCTCAGTTTCTTTCCCAATCCTAATAGATGTTTTCCACAGTTCTCTCATGGCCAGCCAGGTAGTCCTGGCTTTCTCTACGTGCCTGCACTTATAGGCCTCAGAGGACAGATTCTGCACTTTCATGGAACCCTCTTATCTGAGTCAAGCCCTAAACCTGCGTTTTCTCATTTTCAGCTTTACAACATTCTGTGGTGATGTATCCTTATGTTCATTTTACCCAGGGAGAAACTGAGGCCCAGAGCCTTAATGGCATGGAGAGTCCCAAACTCTCCCATTCCTGTTGGGGGAAGGGAGGATGAACTCCTGTCACCAATTCAGCCCAAGCATCTTTCAAAGTCCACAGGGAGGTGACCTCACTTACTCTGGTTCCCTCCAGGTCTGGATTTGGACCGCACTCAGGTCTGTCTGCCTCGTGAGCTTGGTGCTTACCCAAGATCGCCCCTCCCCCACCAACCACCCCCATTAACCTCCCTCACTTCCCCTTCCTTCCACAGCCCATCCTGGGGGGTCATTCATTGTGCTTCATTCAGCTGGCCACTTCTCAGGGTCTGGGGAAACAAAGGCAGGAGGGATGTGAGTGTGGCCCCTGAGGTGAGGCAGGACACATGAGGCAAAGAAAGAGCACAGGGAAGGGGGAGGTACGAAGGGCAAGGTCTTGGTCTCTGCTCTTTCCCGTGGGCTGTCCACGGGCCTCTGCTGACATCAGCACTCTGTGTACTTCCTCTTGTTTTGCAGGCAGGGAGGGGCCCAGAGAAGGCTTCTCCTGCCCTGGTTGGGTGCAGGCGTGCAGTGAGCCCTCCAGGAACTAGAGTCCAGCTGGGAAGGGAAGACTCTCAGCTTGCTTCACTATGTGAAGCAAGTAGAGGGAGACCCAGGCCCCACAAAGTTGCAACAGGCAGGGATGACATCTCCCACTTCCTGTGTGTCGGGTGCTTTGCACTCGTGTTGGCCATGTTTTCTTATTTGCTGTATTCTTGATGCTCTGACATCTGGGGCCTCACTAACCAGGGAGAGACTGTCCCTCCCAGGGCTGCCAGTTCTTAGAAGAGCAATGGACGTGCCCAGGAGCTCACCTGTCATATGCAAACCAACCAGTCCAGAGCCCACACTCCCCACCACCTCCTCCATCTGGCTCTTATGCTCCAGGAGGCCCATGTTCTTCTGCCGTATTCATCCCAGGGCCAGGTACCAGGCAACTAGGGACAGCCCGTAATCCCCAGAGCCCGCAGACATTATTCATACCAGCTGATCCTAAACCTGCCTGCTCTCCCTTGCCTTGTCTTTCTCACAGAACCTACAAGAAAGGCTCCTGCCCATGTTTCCCCCTCCCTCCCTCTGCCTCCTGACTGACCCTAGTGCGTCCCTGCATGGCCCTGCGTGGAGTGCTGGGCATCTTGTTTTTATGGTTTTGTGAATATAAACTGCTTCCTTCATAACAGTCATTTGCATGTGTGTTTTACCATACCTGATTAAAACACATCCAGGTTATGTTTTAAAATAGCTCTTAACTCTCCCAGCAGCCCCAGGAGGTAAGCAGGGTCTATTTTGATCCTCATTTTTTTTTTTTTTTGTGGTATGCGGGCCTCTCACTGCTGTGGCCTTTCCCGTTGCAGAGCGCAGGCTCAGCGGCCATGGCTCACGGGCCTAGCCGCTCCGCAGCATGTGGGATCTTCCCGGACCGGGGCACGAACCCGTGTCCCCTGCATCGGCAGGCGGACTCTCAACCACTGCGCCAGCAGGGAAGCCCCATCTACAAGATGATCTTTTTTATTCGAGGATGTGAATACTAGATTTCTATGATGCTCAAATCTCTTATATAAAATGGCATAGGTATTTGCATATAACCTACACAATCCTCCTGTACTTATTTATTTTTATAGAAATATAGATGATATACAATATTACATTGGTTTCAGATGTACCACATAGTGTTTTGACATTTGCATACATTATGAAATGATCACCATGATAAGTCTAGTAACCATCTGTCTTCATACAAAATTCTTACATTACTGAACATATTTCTTATGCTGTGTATTACATCCCCATGACTTATTTTATAAATGTAGATTTGTACTTCTTAATCCCCTGTACCTCTTTTGCCCTCATCCCCAAACTTCTCCCCTCTGATAACCACCCATTTCTTCTCTGTTTCTGTGAGTCTGTTTTCATTTGTTTTGTTTGTTTTATTTTTTATATTCCACATATAAGTGAGTTCATATGGTGTTAGTTTCTCTCTGGCTTATTTCACTTAGCATAATATGCTCTACATGCACCCACGTTGCCACAAATGGCAAGATTTCATTTTTTTTATGCCTGAGTAATATTCCATTGTTTATATATACCACATCTTCTTTATTCATCTACTGATGGGCACTTAGGTTGCTTCCATATCTTGGGTAAATAATGCTGCAGGAACATAGGGGTGCATATACCTTTTCATATTAGTGTTTTTGTTTTCTTCAGATAAATACCCAGGAGTTAAGTTGCTGTATCATATGGCAGTTCTATTTTTAATTTTTTGAGTAATCTCCATACTGTTTTCCATAGTGGCTGCACCAATTTACATTCCCAACAGCAGTGCACGGTGGGTTTCCTTTTCTCTACATCCTCCAACACTTGTTATTGGCGGTAGTTCATTATGGTTTCAATTTGCATTTCCCTGATGGTTAGCGATGTTGAGCGTCTTTTCATGTGTCTGTTGGCCTTCTCTATGTCTTCTTTGGAAAAATGTCTATTCAGGTCTTCTGCCTGTTTTTTAATTGGGTTATTTGTCTTATGGATGTTGAGTTGTATGAGTTCTTTGTATATTTTGGATATTAACTATTTATCAGATATATTATTTGCAAATACGAGCAATTTCATTTGGGCAGGGCGGTCGCGGTGCCCAGGGCCCAGCGCTTCATCTGTTCCTTGGGTTCTTCCCAGCCGGTCCCTGGAGGAGCCTGCAGGCCCCTGAAGGAAGCTGCCTGGAGCCTCCACCCGGGGTCTGGGGGTCAGTACAGGGTGGTTGTGTTAAAATGTCGGAAGCCGAAAGAGGCCGGATGGGCGGTGGGCTACCCGGAGGGTTGGGAGTGGGCGCTGGGCTGTGGCGGGCGGGGAGCTTCAGGCCACGGGGACAGGCGGCGGGACCCCCGGGTGGGGAAGAGGGCTCCGGCGGGCTGGGGACAAGGGACTGTGTCAGGGTCGGGCCAGGGGGCGAGCCTGAGGGTGGGTGGGGCTGGACTGGGGAAGGAGGGCTCTGGGGTCGCCGAGGGGCAGAAGGACGGGGTGAGTGCCTTCTCGCGACCCGCTGCTGGATTGCAGTGGCGTGGGGAGGGGATAGTCACGGGGGAGGGAGGGTCCTAAGGACGGTCGGGGGAGGGTTGAGCT